GTTTTACATAACAGTTATAATCCTTCTTTATAATCCTTCTTTAGATTACGTACAATAACTATATTTATATGTATTATCTAATCTTGGAGTTCGTAGGTTTCTTTTTTCGAGTCATCGGATCTCTAATAAGAATCCGACCAACTATTAATAATTTGTCCCGTGAACTAAAGACGATTTGATGGCTAACTTTATGAAATTTATAGGGTTTTACTTTTCTTCTCTTGTCGTCGTGTGTATTATTGTTTTTAGATCTAACTATAACATAGAGATTACACAAATCATTCAATCAGTTATATAGCTATTTACTATATCGACTAATTATACATACAGTTAATCGCAAATTTGATCATATAGTTTTTGTTTTTTTTTTCTTTCTCTGGATTCAACTGATTAGAAAATATACTTTATAAAAAAAAAAAAAATAGTCATTTGAAATCTTGAGTACAACAGATTTCATACAAGTTATTATAGCCTATGTTTGTTTAAGTTCACGGCCTCCTATTTCTTAAGATGTGCAGTTACTAGAAATTTATATGTTATGAAATAAGTTGTCATGAGTACAATTTGTATATTAATTAGATCGCCATATGCATGTGACTATGAATGTAGGAGGATGTAAGGATGCAGGGAGGATATTCATCCATACCATCATCATCTCCATCGTTTACATATGCATCATCATCATCACCATCACCATTGCCAACATCAACTCCTTATGGCTTCTATCCAAACAGGATGGTATATATTGCCCTTTATTGATCTATTCATGAGTCATGCGTGTGTTTGATAAAGAAGAATACTACTTGGATTCCTAATCTAACTTGATATAATCAATTATTTACTTTTATCTCAAAATATTCCACCCTAATAGGGAAAATCTTCTTCAAGATTTGGTCGATTATGTTTCCATCAATAACAAGACTCATTTAAAATAATCATGAAANAAAANAAAAAAAATGGGGGAAAACATCTAATTTAAACGAAAATATATCTACATTTAATGGTTTTGTTTGTTCTTGGCAGATGGGTNTACATAGTGATCAATACGAAAGAGCAACCATGAGGTACAATAAGATCACCTTTCACTGTCTTTTGTAGGTTTACAAAATTGAATATGTATACGTGAATTTATTTTATATATATTGTTTGTCTTATAAAATGTTACTTTTCTTTGTTCAAAATAGTTGGAACCCAAGCTACGGCATCTTAGAGAGCCAACATTCTTTGGAACCAAACATCACCAGACATTTCTTACACGAGGTTCTTTACTATATACTCTCACACATATATATGCATCATGCATGTCTTAATTAAAAAAAATATTATTACACATGATCGTGTCATAATTAAGGGATTGGATTTTTAGTTCATTCACCTGCTCAATACTCTTTTAATAGATGTTCCAATCGATTTTTATATGAAGTAGGATCCAGTTTTCGGTTTCTTTTAGTTTAGTGTAGGAGCCATGGTTTAATGAAGTCATATCATGGTTAAACGTTGGTTAATTAATCTTGTTTAAAGTGTTGTAAGTTGTTATTGACTTGTAATATAAATGATTCTAATAATTTTTTTTTTAAAATTGTCTTGAATAGGATCCAAATTCAACAAGGAGAAGTAAATCGTTGGGATCAGGAAACCAAAACTCGGGATCCAGTGACAATCAAGAGCTAGATTTGGAGTTGAGATTATCACTATAATCATTTGTAATGGTTTGATCTTCATAAAATTGAAAAAAAAAAAGCGCCCATTGTGATTATAAGTTTTCTATTCTCTGTTGCTATGCTGAAAATAAAATTGAAGCAGCAACAGCTGATTATTTTCGATTTGGGGTATCAAATTTATTTGCTTCTTAGGGCTGTTTGACTGTTTCAGTTGAAAAGAGTTTAAAGAATGGGAATTATCTGTAAGGTTAGATTACAAAATAGAGATTAGGCTACAAGAAATATATGCTTGTTATGCATTATAGAAGGCTAGCTCCCATGCGAATGTTACGCCAAAATTTATGATAATGTGTTAGCCTGTCAAGAGTTCGAGATAAATTATGCCGATATAAATTATAGAAGGCTAGCTCTCCTAGGTTTCCAATTTTTTTTTGCTTTCCTTACTCCCGCTCTTTGAATATTAAGAAAAAATGTTTACGTTGAAAATCATATTTTGTTGATGTTTTAATTCCTATGTAAACTATAAGCTTCTAGATTGGATAACAAATTAAGGAATTATTTTTTATGTAAAAAGGTTCCCAAAATATATGCATTCAAATAATTATAATTTTTGATGATATATTTGATAACAATCAATCAAAATATATGGTATTATGTAATATCTTAGAAGTTAAAGGTTATATACATCTAGACCTGTTATTTTGATGAAGAAAATAATATTTCTCAAACCACTCATGAGACGACAAGCCTTTCTTCATGAGATTTGTAGTTTTGTTTTTAATAAAATGGATTCTCCTTTAATCTTTTTTTTTCCTCTTTAAACCATTATTGGACGATTTAACATCCAAAGAAAAACGAAGAAAGCAAATACCATTAATGATAGATAGATAGTCCTTTAACCATAGGAAATATCATAATTGCTTCTTCGACAAAAAAAAAAATCATAATTGCTTCTTTTTTTTTTCTCTTTCTTCTAGAGTAGAATAAAAAAAAATAAAAGAAGAGATAATTCGTAGAATGACCAGTCCATAGGTTTTTTTTTCTGCTACACAGAATTCTCCAAGAAACCCTTACTCATGGCGAATTCCATTGCAGTCGGGCTCAACACAAGGTCCACATACATACTCCATTTCACAATTTTTTTGTTTATGAACCTAT